CAACCTTTCTCACAACCCTCATGGGAAAACAATTCTCAGATGATCTAGTCTGACAGAGTGCCCATGGGACAATCTGTTTAGAACAGGGCCAGAAAAGCTCTATGTTTTATGACCACTGAGCTTCAGATTTTTAAGAATATCATCGTAATTTTTAGGCTCTGCCATCAAACTCTTATTAATATCGCTGATTATGAGATTCGGAAGAGGACTAGAATAGTGCCTTGTCTACCGCCTCTCAGGTCTCAAACTGGGTTTCTCAGAGGTACTCAACATGTCTGGTAAACACACATGGAAAAGATCAAATTACCAATTTTAACATTTGAAACATAGTTAACCTTCACATATTTTCATAAATGTTCATATGCTTTGTAAAATATTGTAAAACCCCATTCTACTTTTAATATCTAGTTCTAGCATTCAGATGAGCAAAAACTCATCTATATAAAATCTCATCCAGAAGAAAAACTCCTTGTACAGTACCAAACAACAGAATATAATTGTTTAATATGCTGGGAAACCTATCATATGCTACACAATAAAGAACCCCAATTGAAGTTCATATGATGTAAAAAAGAATGGTTCAGATCTAAAGCCCAAATCTATTACAATTTTCTTCTCCACTACAGATAAAGCCTATCAACAGGATATAAAACAATAATCCTGAAATATTCTAGGCCCCTTTAAGTATCTAGGTCAAGGATACCCCAACCCCCAGTCTGTGGACCAGCAACCGGGCTGTGCAAACAAGCGAAGAAGCCCCATCTGTGGGATGCAGGCAGCACACAAAACCACTCCCCCTCCGGTCCGCAGAAAAATCTTTCTCCATGGAACTGGTCCCTGGTGCTTAAAAAGTTTGAGGTCATTGATCTAGGTGTCAATGTTCAATCTTCCATTTGCTGAATTAATCAAATGAGCATCTTAACATAAGACTTCAAAAAGCATCCCTTGCAATTATCAAATATGCAAGCCAACTATTTAAAATTTTGGGTCGGTCTTATATGGTGCTCACTGTGCATCTATAAGAATACATCTAGATTTGAAAGCAGCCAATTAAATCTCCTAAAATCTACAATACACGGTCCTCATTTGACCCTTAATGGTCTCGTGCAAATAGAACTAGACTACCCTTCCTTTGGGGCTCATTTTGAGACTTTGTTGCCTCAGCTTCTGCCCCAAACAAACCTTTCGGTGAACTCTCTTGATTCACCTTATCTTATTAGGTTTGTCTTGTCTGAATAAAATTATACAAATAAATTATTTGATATACAATACTGGAGGAGGGGAGTTCTGTTCCAGCAATATACATTCTTGGCCTTCATGAAACTCTGGCCCAATTTAAGCAGAGTATCTGGGACAAAGACATCCAACTTGACAGAGACAGCTCTTCTGATTCCTGCTATAGTGCAATTTTCCTCTCTTCTTGGACGACACAACAACATATTATTATTGTTGTTATCATTATTGTTGTTGTTATTTCATATGGTTAACAGAATACAGCGTTAGTGCATAAAAATTCACAAAGTCAGTATATGTATCTAAGTATAAAACACCAGGGCAGAGAATTATTTTAAAAACACACAGTATGAATGATGAATAAAATTATGAAAAAAATTAAATTATGTATGAGCCATTACTGAAGTGACTAAACCTATGGCCAGATATGTAGATTGTTTAGCCATTGGACATTGGGGTGCAATGTAGATAACCTCCTCGTGGTGCCTCCTGGGCAATGTGACTTTGTCATGGCTAAATAGTCTATACACTCCAGCTACTGAATCTCACAAGGGTTTCCCAGCAAGAAGCAGCAGCAGCAGCAGCAGCATGAATACTGAAAACAAAGAACATTTTATTCACCCCACAAAACAAGACTTTTCTCCCTAGTGCAAACTGATATGCTTCTCATTAAAGTGACATCAGGCAGATACACTGATACCATTACAAAAATCACACTTGTGATTACTCTGATGAAAAAGATTGAAATTATTAAATTCTTGCCACTGTGAACTCAGCAATGAACAGATCTCATATTGCCCATTGTCAGAAAACGTTAATAGTTTATAAGTGACTCTCCTCTTTGGTGATCAATTTTCAGATGCCCCTAAGAAGGTCACACACATTTCCACCTATCTCCTATTTTTCTTAATATCTATATGAAACTATTGGAAAAGATCATTTGCAGATTTTATGCTACTTACTCTCATTTTGCTGATGATACTCCATCGTACTTATTTCCAAACAGCTGAGAATTTTATCTCTCAAGAGCCTCGACATATTTCAAGAATTGGATGTTAGAGAACATCTGAAGCTGGACATAGGCAAGCAGGCTGCTAACTCTACAGACTGGACCACAGGGTTGGGATGATATTGCTATTCTGAATGGGATCACATTCCTTCCTTAAAAGAAAATGGAGGCGAGGGAGCAGTCCTCTGTGATCCAGCTTATGTACTAGATAACCATATAACAGTGGCAAAAAAGGTCTTTTCTCAGCTTCAGCTGATTAACAAATTATGTCCTCCTGGAGGAGGCCTAGTTTCAGATAGATAGGGACTAGTAATTTCAAGGCTGGATTAACACAGTGCATCCCTTGAAAACAGACCATAAATTGCAGTATGTGACAGCATTTGTAGTAAATGGTACTCCAGGAAGTGCCTTAAAACCCCATATTGAAACATTTACATAGGTTGCCAGTTATCTAATTCAAGTTGCTAAATTGGTGTAACTTCGGTCCAAAATACATGCATGACTTTCCAATCCTGTACTGACTGCCCCGTATTCTAAGATCCTGAATGGGACCATGGATACATTTTATGTGGAGGAAATTCTATTTTTTTAACATGGGAACAGTACTGCAGAAAAGATTCCCAATGAACCTGAAGGTGGCCCCATTAGAGTTTAGAAGGGGACTTAAACCCAATCATTTTAACTAGGTCCTTTACAGAGTTTTAGAGTGTTTAATATAGTTTTAATGCTGTTTTCAAATTTCAGAATCTTTAAAATTGTAAGCCACTCATAGTTTTTGGAATAGTTGGTGAGAAGGGTGTTATTTTTATGCTTTCAAATAAATGGTAATGAAACAAGATGATAATGATGACGATGACAACAATGAATAGTGGTTACAAAGCAGGATACTGTGTCTTCTAGTCCCGCCTTAGGCATGAAAGCCAGGTGGGTGACTTTAGCTAGTCATTCTTTCTCAGCCCAACCCACCTCACAAGGTTGTTGTTGTAGGGAAAAAAGGAGGAGGAAAGAATATTAGGTATGTGCGCTGCCTTGAGTTATTTATAAACAAAAAATACAGGTGAGATAAAAATCACTTTTGTTTATTATTTATTTGCTGCCTATCTCCTATTGAAACTCTAATAACATTTTAAAAAAGAAATAAAATATTGCCACTGTCTAAGGCAGGGCTTTTCAACCAATGGTACGGGTACCACCTGTGGTACATTGGCATCTGGCAGGTGGTTCGCGACCATCCTAGAAAAGTGGTAGCGGGGGAGGGGAATGAACTGAACCGGTGGCCGCACCGCACAAGCCTGAGCGAGAGATGGCTGGAGCTGCAGGGCTGTCAGGGTTCAGTGGAAGCGCCAGGATCAGCACCAGGCTCCAGCTGGAGCTTGGTGCTGATCCTGGTGTTTCTGCTGAGCCCAGAAGAAGCACTGATCAGCTGGAATGTTGCAGCATCTCCAGGGTCTTGTGATTTACATTCAGATGCTTGGCAACTGATTCATATTTATGATGGTCACAGTGTCCCAGGTGAGGTGACTAAAACCTGTTGCAACCACCCAGCAGACAGGGGAAATAAAAACCAAACACCCACCTCACCCCACCCCCACTGCCAATCCTCAACAGAAATGCTCACAACAATGAAAACCTCGGACAGAAGGAAGAGCGCGGCCGGGCGGGCAGGTGTCTTGCTCGGCTGTGGCTTAGGGGGCACTTTTTTCAGTGCCACTGTAACTTCAAACAGTCACTAAGTGAACTGTTGTAAGTCAAGGACTACCTGTACTTTATTACTTTTCCCCCCCCTTTTTTTTTTTGGTCATCAAGTTTTTGACACCTTGCTAGGTGACTGGTGGTACTCGGATGTTGCCATATCCTAAAAGTGGCACAATGGGTAAAAAGGTTGAAAAGCCCTGGTCTAAGGTATCTGTACTTTCTTTCAATCTCTCTTTATTGGAAACTACATCATACCAGATACGTTGATAAAGAAAATATACTGAATATATTTAAGAAATTCATTAAAAATGTTAAAAGTACAAATACAGTTGGATTGGCTTCTACTTTCAGGACACCCCTCAGTATTTGGCCAGTAGTGCCATTTATATCTTTACAAGTAAAAAATAATAAATATCTAGTTTTCCCCTCAAATTTTGTACATTTCATCTAGTTGATACGTTGCAGATCGTTATTCTGATTATTTTCATTATTGAATGTCATCTTTATACAATACTAGTTGCTTAGCAACATTTCTCCCTCCTTATTGAGAGACTGCCTTTCATAAGGTATTCTTAACATTTAAGAGCCATCACAATAAAACATCACCTAAAAGATCAACGTTACATATAAATTCCTCAATCTTTCAGCCTTTCCAGACTGGGGGAGGGGAGGGAGAGGGCATGGTTCTGCACAAGCATGTGTGCACAGCTCTATTTGTGTGAGTGGCATACACACGTCACTCACACAAATAGAGCTCATGTGCACACGTTCCCCGCTGCTTGCACAAGTGGGGATGCCCACGTTCATACTCACCTGCTCTTTCCACGGCCTGGTTGCAAACAGCTCACGGCCCACTAGAGGGCTGTCTCCTGGAAGTTGGAGACCTCTGGTTTAACTGATCTGGTAGGCATCAGGTTTTGAGACATGGTAGGAGCAGCTGCTAAGGCAATACCCAAGACCCAATTCCAGTATTTTTTTTTCTGTAGATTTCTATGCTACCACCACTTCTTTGGATTATATTCAGTCTAGCAAAATTACATGCAAAAATTTAGTAGCTCATACCCTCCTCTGTTGTGATGCTCATCGTGCTTTACTATCTTATACGGCAGCGTTCTTTCTCCCAAGTTTTCCAAATTCCTCACCACTGCTCCTCTTTCCAGCAAAGCTTCCACTGTGCGTCTCAGTGTTGCAGCTGTCTCTGGCTTTAAACAGAAGGAAAAAAAACATACATTTACAGTGTAGTCAAGGATCATACAGAATTGGGGGAAATGAAAACATAATGAAAATAGAGAAAATGCAGTGTGTGTTGTGTAAGACATTTTTTGATAAAATGGTTTCAGTAAAACTTATCCATATTGTTATTGTAATAGTTCGTGCATGACATTCAATTGACTCATTCAAAAGGCACAAGTAACAAATCTTCAATTTAGTGGATAATTGGGGCCATAAATTTCCCTTTCCAATGTTGAAGAACTAATCTCTTGGCAATAATTAGGGCAAAAAGAGCTCACTCACATTGTTCAACTGTCAATGTCCATGTATTGTAGAAGGTAGATATTTCAAAATAATATGTATCAAGTCAATGGCAATTACTTTTAACTGGCTGGAGTAAAAAGGAAGGAGAGAAAAGACAGACGTTAAAGCAAGGGGAAGTCCCAAAAGTTTGATTACTCTCTTAGCCATTTGCAAGAATGTATTTTCAGATTATAGACCAGTGCCAGAGGCGGCACTCAGAGCCCTCTCTGTGGGCACGCACGCGGTTGCCCCAGTCCTAGGCCTCCAGCTGGGTTTTATAAAACCTTTTTGCTTTAGGCCTCTGCCGCCGTGTGCAAAAAAAAAAAAAAGGTTCAATCAGTCAATTTCAACTTCTTGCAGGGTAAAAAAAAGATCTTGCCAAGTTGGAATTGATTGATTGAACTTTTTAGTCCCACCCAATCTGCCGTTACCACCGCAGCCACGCCCACCTAATGGGCCATGCCCACCCAACTGGCCACACCCACCCAGCACCCAATGATGCATAAGTGGGTTTTCAGTTGCAGTTTGGGCACTCAGTCTCTAAAAGGTTCGCCATTTTTTTGCAATTTAATGGGATTTTAGAGAAAATGTGAATGTAGTCTGTATTCCCAAATCTAACATTTCATATACACAAGTGTAACACTCCATGGTACAAAAAACTGAAAACAAGTTATTCTTAGGTCACTTTAGTATAGTTAAGAAAATTCAATTAAGAAAGGAATTCAATATTTCAGATCATGGTTGTCCAACCTTTTGGCTTGCCTGGGCTTCATTAAGTGAAGAGGAATTGTCTTGAGCCACATATAAAATATATATAATATGGTTGTCCAACCGTAATCACATAATAATATTAAAGATTATTATTTTGTGAGGCTACATCAGCTATCCAAGGCTGCATATGGCTCATGGGTTAGATATGTCTGTTTTATAGACTGATGTGGAGAAGGAAACAGATATTTAAATAAGACTCTAAAACAGGGTTGTCAAACTGCCGGCCCACGGGCCAGTTGCATCATACAGGGGCCATGTCCATCACAGCAATGCAAAAAAAAAAGTCACGCTACATTGTGACATGGCACGTGACGCAGCGAGTTTGATACTTCTGCTCTAAAGAAACAAGGATATATTTTATCATACATTACTGCATATAGCATCTCCATTCAACTTCATATAGGTATGTGTTACTTTAGGTTTTTAAACTGAAACATTTAACAGAATCTTGCTGGATCAGACCAAAGATAATCTAATATAAGATTGAGATGTTTCAAGATAGTAATAGCAATCTGCTCCCCAGTATTTCCACCATATCTATTGCTCTCTCTGAACGAGAAATTACATGTTGCTTATCGTTAATCACTAAACTTCGGCCTCTGATTTTACCCAATTTTCCAAAATAATGCAAGCTAGAAATTATCATATCTTCAATCCACCCCTATCAGTCTCACTATCAATCCCCAGAGCTATAGTATAATTGAATGGGAAGGTTCTAGAAAAGTTTAAAATTTTCTACCCAGCAACAGGCTCACTGAGCATGTGCGGGAAAACCTGAGTACGTGCCTGGAACTAGGTATGAAATGTCCACATGTAGAGAACAAAAGAATACCCATATATGGTAAGGTAGGAGGTAAGGTAGGATAATTGTGTCGTCTGATAGGTTTGTAACCTGCCACGTCAGGAATAGCTGACGTAGGTATAGGAGGAGATAGGGAGGAGTATAACTGCTGTTGCGCTTCTGTAGGAGGTGTGGCTTTTCCCTGCGACTCTTGTGAGTACGGGTTAAGTTCCACCACGCTTTGCAAACCGTCTTTTCTTGATTTTTGATAATAAAAGAAACTTTATTCTTCTACTCCGAACCTCGTCTCTGAATTTCTTTCAAGGAATTCTACAAACAAATTGGGGGCTCGACCGGGATCCAATCTGCGCTGGGACTCTGAGGGGTCCTCCTTAGGTGCACCCCTTTCCTTTTGAAAGGAGGGGAACCACCCAGAGGACTGCGGAGCTCTTGGAAAACCCGTAAAATTTTAATAAAGACGAGTATTAGGAGAAGGGTGAATAAAGTGCGGAACAGCCTGAAGACAGACCGGGTAACATCTGCGCGCAGACCCTGGTGAGTACTGGTTTGAAAACACCAGAACACAAGAGTCCAGGGCGGTCGGGATAGAGTGTGTGGATGTGAGAACTGGCAACGGGGCCGGGTGGAAGTCCTTTTGAGGGACCTCGGGGAGGTCTGCAGGACGGAGTGAGTGAAGGGGATATTATTGAATATCCGGAGACGGTGACGTGTGGAATTGAGAAGGAGTTGCTGGGAGGGACATAGGCACACATACTCAAGATAGGCTGAGCACCCATAAAAGAAATGGGGGGCAATACAGGGTCGACCAATTCAGGGAAAAAGTGTGTTAAAAGGATCCGTAAAAACCCCAAACTTAAAATCGACCCGAATGGCCCTTTGGGCAAAATATTGGCTGGATGGGGATCCCCGCCCTATAACCGGGAGATTTTGAGGTTGGGGTTGAATAAAGAAGATATGGTTAATTTATGTTGTTTTGTTTGGTGGGAGGACGATAATGTGGAGTGGCCAAGGAATGGCTCCACAGATTATTTTCAGTGTCACAATTTATATAACTATGTGAAGAAAAAGAAATGTAAGAGTTTAGATAATGAATTAGATTATGCGCTAATTTGGGTGCCAGATCTTTGGAACTCAAATGAGCACATTCTCGTGGCAAAAACAGATGAAGAAGAAGAAGAACAAGAAAAGGGGAGGGATCTCTTAAAGAGTATTCCACCCCCTTATAATCCTAATCATATCCAAAACCCTCCTCATCCAGTAAATGTATTAACACCACCATTATATCCAGAATTACCAGAGGGAGTGAGTCAGTCAACCCCAGAACAATGGTCAAGTCCCTCTATGCCTGTCTTGAGTCCAGAAAGTCGGGATCCATATCGGACCCCCCAATACCCTACACCACCCATACCTGTACTAACACCCCATTTCTCTTCTGAAATAGGGAATAAGGGTGAGGAAGTGAAAAAGAATTTGGCAGCAGAGTTGGAAGAGAGGGAGAGAGTTCGGCAGTTTCCCCTGAGGGAAACTCCAAATGGAGTCAATGCTCAGGGAGCTCCGATAATAACATATGTTCAAGAACCACTTAAGGCTTCAGAAGTAAGGGCCTTTAAGAAAGAGATGAAAAGTTTTATAGAAGATCCTCTGGGGGCTAGTGAACAATTGGATTCTTTGTTAGGCCCTAATATTTACACTTGGGATGAAATACAAAATATAATGGGAATTTTATTCAGCCCAGAAGAAAGAAATTTAATTAGAGTAGCTGCTATGGCGGTATGGGAAAGAGAGAATCCAATAGTAGCTGGTGGGAATCAGGATGCGGGGGCTGTTAAATATCCTTTGGTGAGACCAGATTGGAATAATAACGAGGAAAGAGGAAGGAAAAATATGCAGGATTTAAGATCAATAATAATAAAAGGGATGAAAGAGGCTATTCCTAAAACACAGAATATGGCACGTGCAATAAATATAGAACAAGGAAAAGAGGAAGCTCCCGCCACCTTTTTGCAGCGTCTTAAAGACGGACTGCGGAAGTACGCAGGGGCGGATCCTGACGATGCCTTAAATGTCCAACTTGTTAAGATTCAGTTTGTGACTAAGGCGTGGCCAGACATCGCCAAGAAATTGCAGAAGAGGGAGAATTGGACTGCAGAGTCCCTGGAAGTATTGTTAAGAGAAGCCCAGAAGATATATGTGAATAGAGAGGAAGAGAAAGTGAAAAGAGATGGTCAAAGGACAAGCAGGATGATGGCGATTGCGGTGAAGGAAGTGATGCAAGCTCAGCCAGAGAGAGGAAGAGGGCGAGGCTGGGAACGAGGAAGAGGGAGAGGAAGTGAGTTTAGGGGAAGACCAGGAATGAGAAGCAGGGGCGGAATGAACAGAGGAAGAATGGTAAGAGAGAGAGGAACTTGCTTTCACTGTGGGAAGATGGGACATTTCAAAAGAGAATGCCCCACTCTGGCCTCAGAAGAGCAAATCAATAGGATGATGGAAGAGGATGAAGACATCTACTAGGGAAGTCAGGGGCCCCTGATTAGGAGTTCCCGCCGGGAGCCCTTGATAAATTTGGAGGTGGGAACCCAGGAATACACCTTTTTGGTGGATACTGGAGCATCTCGCACTTCTGTGTGTGTGATGCCAAGGGAAGGAAAATTTGACAAACAGACAAAAATTAAAGTAAGTGGGGTAAAAGGGGAGGCTTTTGATGTAAAACAATTGGAACCAATAAAAATAAAATATGGGGTAAATGAAATTCGGACCCTGAAGTTGTTATATGTACCTGAAGCAGGAATTAATATTATGGGAAGAGATTTGATGTCTGCACTGGGGCTTACAATAAGTTTTGATAAAAACGAAACAGCATATGTTCTAACAGAAGAGAAGGAACAGAAAATTGACCCCTTAGTTTGGGTACAACCAGGCAATAGAGGTGGATTGGAAATAGAGCCTCTGAAAATAAAACTGAAGCCCCAAAGTGAGGTAGTAAGCCAAAAACAATATAACATTTCAATGGAGGGAAGAAAAGGTCTTCAACCAATCATAGACCAGTTAGTGAAGGATGGGTTATTGGAGGGAACTATGTCACCCTATAATACCCCCATCCTACCTGTGAGAAAACCTGATGGTACTTACAGAATTGTACAGGATTTGAGGCTCTTAAATTTTATAGTAGAGACCAGACATCCAGTGGTTCCAAACCCTTATACCATTCTGGGTAAAATACCTGTAGAACACAAATGGTTCAGTGTGGTGGATTTGAAGGATGCCTTTTGGTCTTGTCCTTTGGACAAAGACAGTAGAGCATTATTCGCGTTTGAATGGGAGAATCCTTTCACTGGAAGAAAACAACAATACCAGTGGACTGTATTACCCCAAGGATTTACAGAATCCCCAAATTTATTTGGACAGGTGTTGGAGCAAACTTTGGAGAAATTCAAATTGCCAAAAGGCGTAAAAATGATTCAGTATGTAGATGATTTATTAATATCAGGCAAAAAGAAAACAGACACTGAGGAGGGAACAATTGCCTTGCTAAACTTTCTAGCCCAACAAGGCCTGAGAGTGAGCAAGGGAAAACTTCAATTTGTGGAACAGGAGGTAAAGTATTTAGGACATTTGATCAGTCAAGGTTCTAGAAGAATCAGTGCTGAAAGAATTCAAGGGATTGTGGAACAATCGAGACCCAAAACGCAAAAAGAATTAAGGAAATTCTTAGGGTTAATTGGATATTGTAGATTGTGGATAGAAGATTATGCCAAATGGACAAAGAAGTTATATGAACAATTGATCCAAACTAAACCATTCAAAATTGGGTGGACTAAGGAACTTGATGAAGACTTCCAAAAACTAAAACACTTGTTGGTTAGTGCTCCTGTTCTTAGTCTTCCCAATTTAGATAAGCCCTTCCACCTCTTTGTTTCAGTAGAAGGAGGAGTGGCTCTAGGAATTTTGACGCAAAATTGGGCGGGGCAAAAGAAACCAGTGGCATATTTGTCAGAAAACCTCGACTCAGTGGCCCAGGGATGGCCTACTTGTATTCAAGCAATAGCAGCAGTGGCCTTGTTGGTGAAAAAGAGTGAGAAAATCACAATGGGAGGGGCACTAATTGTTAGTAGTCCTCATCAAGTAAGAACTCTACTGAAACAAAAGGCAGGGAGATGGCTAACTGACTCAAGGTTGTTGAAATATGAAGGGATGCTGTTAGACCATGCTGACCTAGTTCTGACCACTGATTCAGCCTTGAATCCGGCACAATTCCTAAATAAAACTAGCTCATTTGAAAATGATGAAATTGAACATTGGTGTAGTGAAATAGTGGACTTAGAAACGAAGATCAGACCAGACCTGCAAGATATTCCCCTAACAGAAGGGGAAAGATGGTATATTGATGGTTCTTCACGAGTAGTAGAGGGAAAAAGACAAAATGGATATGCCATCATACAAGAAGGAACGTGGGCCCTTTTGGAGGGGGGTAGATTGCCAAATCATTGGTCTGCACAGGCAGCCGAATTATATGCTCTAAAAAGAGCTTTAATATTGGGAGAGAAATTGAATTTAACAATTTACACCGACTCTAAGTATGCCTTTGGAGTGGTGCAAACTTTTGGAAAAATTTGGAAAGAAAGGGGGTATGTGACAAGTCAGGGGAAAGATCTGATACACCAACAACTAGTGGAGGAGGTGTTATCGGCCCTTGTATTGCCACATAGAATTGCTGTAGTACATTTGAGAGCACATCAAAAAGGGGAAGAAATTGAGAAAAAGGGGAATAGATTGGCAGATCAAGAAGCTAAAGAGGCTGGCATGAGTGAAATTATTGAACAAATCAAGCTTATGATTCCTCATGTAGCTAAAATAAAAGAAATCCCAACCTTTAATGAAAAGGAAGAAGACAAAATTAAGAAGATAGGAGGAATCAAGGATAAAGAAGGAAAGTGGTGGTTACCAGATGGAAGACAAATTCTTAATTATCCCCTCATGAGACAAATCTTTGAAAGACTGCATGAGGGGAGTCATTGGGGAACTCAAGCTTTGATTGATGAGGTGCTAAAAAGATATGCAGGAGTGAAGGTTTACACTGCAGCGCAACAAGTAACCCAAAAATGTATAATTTGTCAAAGAGTAAATAGAAACCAATTGAGAGAAAAACAAAAGGGAGGAAGGCCTTTGGCCCTCTACCCTTTCCAAAACATACAAATAGATTTCACTGAAATGCCACAAGTGGGACGGTATAAATATTTGTTGGTAATAGTAGATCACCTAACGGGGTGGGTGGAAGCTTACCCTTGTTTTGATGAAACTACTAGAACTGTGAGCAGATTGTTGTTAGAACACATTATACCAAGATATGGGATTGTTCAAAGAATTGATAGTGATCAGGGAAAACATTTCACCGGAAAAATCACTCAAGGGATAGCTAATGTGTTGGGAATAAAATGGGATTTGCACAGCCCATGGTGCCCGCCCTCTAGTGGAAAAGTGGAAAATATGAATGGAAGGATTAAAACTATGTTAACGAAATTATATTTGGAAACAGGAATGAATTGGATGAAAACTTTGCCTATAGCCCTGTTTAGAATAAGAACACAACCTAGGAGGGATGTTGGGATTTCACCTTATGAGATGTTATTTGGCATGCCACTAAGGAATGCTGGTATACAAATGGGGAATCTACCTAGTAAAGATAAGGGACTGATTCAATACTTGCAAATACTGTCCCAGACTTTTGATTCTTTCAGAAAAACTGGCTATTTGATACAAACTCCTCCTCTAAGCTTCAAAGTCCACTCCATAGAAGTCGGAGACCAAGTGTGGATAAAGACGTGGAAGGATGATTCCCTCAAACCAAAGTGGGATGGACCGTTCTTGGTGTTATTGACCACAGACACTGCCATTCGAACACAAGAAAAGGGTTGGACTCATTATACCCGAGTAAAGAAGGCTAATCTTGAGGAGTCGGAAACATGGAAAGCATTTCAAAAAGAACCATTGAAACTGGTGTTAAAAAGACAATGACTTATATCCTTTTGAATATGACAATAGTGGCGATTGGGGGAAAATTATGGATTGAGCCGCCTAGAATCTTTGAACATAATGGAACTTGGACACAAATTCGGTGTTATAATGACAAAGAGAGTGAACACTGTCCCATGAACTGGATCTTTGAACCCAAAATTTGGTGGTGTGAATCTAAGTTGCAACCAAACTGGCAGCAAGTAGGTCAGGAGAAAAGCTGGGTAACGCAAAATAAAGGGGGTAAGTGTCAAAGTACTCTATATTTACAAGTAACCAGGGAGACTATAGGTAAATATACCTGTACCATGTGGGAAGGGAAAACTTATTTGACTAGTCACTCTTTTGTGGCTTCTCCAGACTCCTTTGAATTTCCTCCTATTCCCTTGTGGATATGGACAGCTTCGGCTATGAGGAGACACTTTCTGCGGAGAGAAAAGAGAGCAACTAGTACTATTATCTGTCTAAAAGGTGGGGGACATCAAAAGGGAGAGTTCCAATACTGGAAAACTACTCAATATGGATGTAATCTGACTCTGGAAGTAACACCAAGGCAAACCCAGAGAGATCCAGCTTGGACTTGTAAAAATCAAAGTAGAGAGTGGATGAGTGGAATTACCCAGATGTGTGAAAATGCAACCAGGGGAGACCCAAGGTGCCATTGGATAGGGAAGGCCTTGTGGTACAGTGGTTGTGGCACAGAAGGGGAAAGCACTGATTATCTCTACTTTCTATGTAACAATACTAGGAGTCAGTATTTACAACCTGAATGGGAAGGGCTGTGTGAAGTATTATGGGAAGAACTTGTTCAGACTCATCAGCCTGTCCATTCCTTATCCCCTCCTGTTAGAAAGATGAGAACTACTGTTACTACAAAACAGACCACAACGAAGTTCGGACCCTGCCAAGAGTGCACAGAATGTATTAAAAAGACCAAGCAAGGGAATATAGTTACTAGTACCTTATTATATCACACTCTAAAACCAGAATGTAATGCTACTAAAGTGCAACCTTGTGTATGTAATCAAACTCAATATTTTAGGTGTTATACAGCCCAAGGGATGCAGTGCTATGAACCAAAAGCAGTAGGTCCAATTACTGCTAGCATTTATGTATATGGATATAAAGGGGGAGTTACTGGAACAGAAGGGTTATTTGCTATAGCCCAAACTAAGGGAGGATACGTTGCCCACAATACCACAAGGGGAAATACCAAGCTGTCCGTGTGTTTTGACACTTGTAAAGCTATAAGGATAGGACAAGGACATGATAATAGACAAGGAATGAAGTGTGGTAACTTTGAGTGGGAAAAAGATTATATGAGGGAAGAAAAATATTTATTCCAAGTTGCCATGCCCGCTGCGAGTACAGGCCAGGTGGCTTTTGCTCCAAGTCACACTTATTGGTATACCACTAAGACCCCTTGGGAATGGAGGAAAGGACCCCAGGGGTTCAACTTGTCTATGGCCTCAGTATCAACAGATTGTAAACCAGAACAGTGTACACGGATTTGCTTACAAATCAAGGCATCTGAAACCCCCTCTACTAATTTTTACTATTTTGGTATTGGTATAAATGGAAGAGGAAAAGATCCATATGGGTATATTATAGTAAAAGTGAGTTCAACAAAGTTAACTTCAGAGCCAGTAAAGGTATATTGGGAATATCAGGAAGAGATTGCAAAACTTAATAGTCTCCCTGTTCCACCAAAGGCTAAAAATATGTTTATCGCTTTAGCCCAAGAGGTTGCTCAGAAGTTAATGCTGAAAAATTGCTTCGTGTGTGGGGGAACCAATATGGGAGATGAATGGCCATGGCATGCCAGAGAAGCTAATTATACTGAAATTGAGAAATGGAAAGGAAATTTCACTTACCAGAACACCTATAATGAAACTTGGAGGATGTCCATTAACCTGGTGGGCAATATATGTTACTCGAGGAGTAACCATAGTGGGAGAACTAAACCTATGGGGTTCATGCGCTGTTTGAATACCTGGGAAAACAATACTTGGATATCACAAACGAATCAAAGTGTCCCTAACAACTCTTTATCTTTAATTCCCGAGCTTGCCTTCCTAAAAGATCCTGAAAACGATACCCTCCTCTGGACCACTCCTGATGGGTTATATTGGATCTGCGGAGCATTTGCATATAATATTCTCCCTGCTGGATGGTTTGGGTCTTGTATTCTGGGTGCTATACAACCCTCTTTCTTCCTCTTGCCATTACAAAGAAGACAATTATTGGGTGTCCCTGCCTATGAACATGTGGGAAACTTGGTAAGGCGGTCTGTGGCTAAAGTGGGAGAAGGGTTAAAAATTGGGAATTGGAAAGATGATGAATGGCCACCCGAACGAATAATTGCTTATTATGATCCAGCTACATGGGCCCAAGATGGAAGTTGGGGGTATAGGACCCCAATTTATATGTTAAACAGAATTATCCGATTACAAGCAGTAGTAGAAATTATAACCAATAGAACAGCTGAGGCTTTAACTAAGTTGGCTAAAGAAAGTGTTTTGTCCAGAACATATATTATGCAAAACCGCTTGGCTTTAGATTATTTGTTGGCTAAGGAAGGAGGTGTCTGTGGAAAATTTAATTTAACAAATTGCTGTATACAAATTGACGATTCAGGCATGGTAATTAACCAGATAACGAAAGACATGGTTAGAATTGCACATGTACCTGTACAAACTTGGACAGGGATATTGGATGATGAAGGGTTCTTGGGAGGAATATTCAGAAATTGGAAACAGGCTCTGTTTATGGTATGTATTATATTCATTGGAATAATGATGTTACCTTGTCTGGTTCCAGTAATAAAGAACCTAGTAAACAGTTCAGTCCACGGCATATTACAAGCCCAACAAAATGCTAAGTCCATAATGGTATTAAAAGAAATTGAGGACCAAATCCAGTTGTTGGAAAATATGAATACTTCACATCCAATGAAAACTACCAAAGAAGAAACTAGTAGGTTAAATGAAATAAAAGAAAATATTAAACTAGTGACCAAATAAGAAATGGGGGAATTGAATGGGAAGGTTCTAGAAAAGTTTAAAATTTTCTACCCAGCAACAGGCTCACTGAGCATGTGCGGGAAAACCTGAGTACGTGCCTGGAACTAGGTATGAAATGTCCACATGTAGAGAACAAAAGAATACCCATATATGGTAAGGTAGGAGGTAAGGTAGGATAATTGTGTCGTCTGATAGGTTTGTAACCTGCCACGTCAGGAATAGCTGACGTAGGTATAGGAGGAGATAGGGAGGAGTATAACTGCTGTTGCGCTTCTGTAGGAGGTGTGGCTTTTCCCTGCGACTCTTGTGAGTACGGGTTAAGTTCCACCACGCTTTGCAAACCGTCTTTTCTTGATTTTTGATAATAAAAGAAACTTTATTCTTCTACTCCGAACCTCGTCTCTGAATTTCTTTCAAGGAATTCTACAAACATAATGAAAGATGGAAACATGATTTCTATCCATTTCATTACAGCATGATTTTCTAATCATTGGTTATCTCTCCCCTTGGCAACATTACAGATAGTCCTTGACTTATGATCACAATTTTTCTGTTGCTAAGTAAGATAATTGTTAAATGAGTTTTGCCCCATTTTACAACTTTTCTTGCCACAATTGCTAAGAGAATCACCACAGTTAAGTTGATAACATGGGTTATTAAGTGAATCTGGCTTCCCCATTGACTTTGCTTCTCAGAAGATTGCAAAAGGTGATCAGATGATCCCTGGACACTACAACCATCATGAATATGAACTAGTTACCACCTAACTGAATTTTGATCATGTGACCATGGGGATGCTGCAACGGTCATGTGAAAAATAAGTCACATTTTTCAGTGCTGTTTAACTTTAAATAGTCACTAAACAAATAGTTGTAAGTTGAGGACTACCTGTATTTATAACAATAAACTATCTAAATATTTTCTTCTATCCTTTTTTTTTAAACTAAAGGTACAACTAACTGCACCTGTAAATTTCATCCATCTTTCCCAGCTCTACAATATCCTTTTTGGATAAACCAACCAGGATTGTAAACAGTATTTAAAACAGAGAACTACTAACAGATACTCAGTACTCCTGTTTCAACTCCTTCATGATTCATAAGGAATTTGCCCTTTGCGCCCGAGTTGTAATTTTCATTAAATTATCCAACATGATTAAGTTGTTTCATAATTAGTCAAATGCTAGTTTAAAACCCACCAGTGTTTATGTACTGTCAGAGTAAGCAAATTATGGCCCGTAGCTCCCATTTCTATAAGTATTAGGAACCACTCTAACTGGGGAAAAAAGCAAGATCAGCAGATTGGTTGACCACCATTTAGAAAAAATTAGTAGGAATTTTGTGCCTACTCTCTTCTTTACTTATTCTTATCTACTGTCCTTAATCTCTCAGAGGTTTGTAATAGCATGGACCATAGCATCTCATTGACAACTAAAGAAGTCGTGTTGCAGTGTTTGTATTCCTGTCTGCAGTACCATTCCCCAAATAGGATTGGAGGACTTCTGTTCAATACCATGGCAATCATGCAGGGAATTCCATTGCTTTTGGTCTGATCTTCCATTGTGCTGAAGCCTGTATGAAGCCATTGGGAAAGGCTGTCCAGAGTGTTGGAATGAGATTTACAAATGCCTCTTAATTTTGTCTTTTTCATCTGATCCAAATCAACAGAAGAATGCTTGTGGGCTGTGAAGGACCAGATGAAGGCCAGCTGCCTGAAGATGAATCACAGAAAGATAAACATTAGCCTGGAAGGTCATCATCTCTGAGCAGTTCTATCCAGAAACTGTCCTTAACCTAGTATTACATGAGGTGACACTTGCCCTATAGAGCGAAGTACAGGATATATGGCTTCTCTTGGATACCAAATGATCACTGAACACACCTATAGCCTCAGTAGGGAGAGTCTATGCATAGCTTCAGATAGTGAGTCCAATATAGCAATTTATGGATGAAAAAGCCTGACTTTGGCAGTACATGCCCTGGTAATCCAAATTAAATTATTCCATCTGGAGATCACAGGTGGTACAAGAAACTGTCTAGGGTAGTATACTATCTCAGAAAATGACCATGTTATCCATACTTTTCAGGTGCTATCCTGGCTGCAGATAATATATTGGATTTAATTTAAAGTCAGGTACTTACCAGTAAACATCCAATGCATTCAAGACCAGTTTTCTTGTTTTGCATTTCAGAAAATAAAACACAAACACACAGAATTGAAGCAGACAAATGATTCCATTAAAATATTGGTTCAGTAAGCTATCCAGAATTATTTTCTGTTAATTCTCAATCCCTAAAAATATAAACAGGTGCTGAAAATTTTAGGTTCAGCTCTCCAGGGACATCACCACCAAGGAAAGTAGCCTATCCTATTTAAAAAGCTAAACTCAATTCCACATATTAGGATATCATTTTTCTCATCAATGGAATGGCTTCAGAGCAGGTTGGTCTCCATAACTTCTCCAACTGATTCTATGATCTCTGATAATAAGGCATAGCGTTTTCCACAAGCTTCTACTCCCCAACTGTTATTAGAAGGGGCATTGTCTTACCTGAATGTCTTTTCTCAGCACGGAGATGGAGAATCCACGAATGGGTTAACTCTGTCCTCCTGCCCAATCAGATCAAGTCAGCCAAACTGGCCATGCCCGTCCTGGACTAGGTTCTCCCAGTCTCGACAAGGGCGAAGCCACTTACTGACAACAAGACGTATTGGCTCATAGACGTTAACCCTAGGCCGAAGGACCAAAAGAGGGAGGAAGTGCATTCTCCATCTCCGTGCTGAGAAAAGGTGTTCAGGTAAGACAATGCCCCTTCTCCAGCACAGGAGATGGAGAATCCACTAATGGGACATTCCAAAAGCCTACTGTCCCTGAGGGAGGGAAGCAGCCAAGTTTGGAACGTCTCGAGGTACGATCTGTTGAAGAACCCTCCTGCCAAAGGAGGTTTCTGCAGATGCGTACCTGTCCAGCTTATAATACCATATGAACGGTGAGGGTGAAGACCATGTGGCCGCCCTCCACACGTCCTCAATGAAAGCTTGAGCTGACCAAGCAGCAAAAGTGGCTGCACTGCGCGTAGAGTGAGCTATGATCCGTTGTGGAACTGGCAAGGACCCGGACTGGTACGCCCCCGCAATGCAAACTCTTATCCACCTGCCAATCGTGGAAGCCGAAACCTTCCGACCCTTGGAAGGGTGGAACGAAACGAAAAGTGCCTCAGAGCTGCGGAAAGCGGCCGTCCGGTTGATGTAACAACGGAGTGCCCTGCAAATGTCCAAAGAATGTCATTGCTGTTCCAGATTGTGAGAAGGATTAGGACAAAAATCGGGAAGCACGATTTCCTGAGCCCTGTGGAACAGAGTGTTAACCTTAGGTACAAAGGTAGGGTCTAGGCGAAGAACAACCCTGTCCCGATGAAAGATACATAAGTCATCCCTAACTGAAAGAGCCTCCAGCTTAGAAATTCGCCAAGCTGAAGTTATAGCTACCAGGAAGGCAACCTTGAGAGACAATGCTCTCATGTCACACGACCTGAGAGGTTCGAAAGAAGCCCTAGTAACAGCTTGCAGAACCCGTGGCAATTCCCACGAAGGGTATCTATGCACGACAGGGGGCCTAGTGTTAGTTGCACCCTTGATAAATGAGCAGATCAAAGGATGTTGACCCAGAGATGCAGCAGAGTCACAGGCAAGCAATGTGGAAAGAACTGCCACCTGTCTGTGTAATGTATTGAGCACCACGCCCCTGTTCAAGCCCTCTAGAAGAAAATCCAGAATATTTGGAATAGTCAAATTTGAAAAAGACAGGTTGTGTTTGGAGCACCACCTACAAAAATCTTTCCACGTGGCATCGTAGATGTGGTTGGTAGCCGGTCTTCTAGAAGCCTGGATTATGGAAATGACCCCTGGTGAGCAGGACTCCCAGGAAAGGATCCTGCGCTCAAGTGCCAAACGGCCAACTGGAGCCATTGGGGTTCCGGGTGACTCAGAGTCCCCTGGTTCAGCAAGACACAACCCGGAGGGATCCTCCAAGGATGAGACAGGGAAAGGCTCACGAGGTCGGCAAACCATGGTCTCCTTGGCCAGTATGAGGCCACAAGAAGAACCTCCGCCCTCTCTTGTAGAAGTTTGCGGATGACCGCCGGAAGAAGGGGAAGAGGAGGAAAGGCATAGAAAAGGCCCTCCGGACATGGAACCCGGAGAGCATCCACTTCCTCTGCCCCCGGAGACGGGAAACGGGAGAAGAACCTAGGCAATTGTGCGTTTGCCGGAGAAGTGAACAGGTCTATGATTGATAGACCAAATCTGTCGGAGATCTCCCTGAAGATGTCCGGGTGCAGACGCCATTCTGAGTGGTCCATTGTTGACCTGCTTGTCTGTTTGCCTCCCCTGAAATATGGTCAGCCCTGATTGAGGCAAGGTTGGTCTCTGCCCAGGAGCCCAACAATTGGGCCTCGGTCATGAGGGCATGGGATTGGGTACCCCCCTGCTGGTTCACATGGGCCTTTGCCGCCACGTTGTCTGTGAGGACCAGTACGTGTTGTCTCGCAACCCTGTTGCGGAAGTGATGGAGAGCCAGATGTATGGCTCTGAGCTCCAACCAGTTGATGTTGTGCCTCAAGTCTGATCGAGACCATCGTCCCTGGGCCCACTGTGACTGAAGACGCACTCCCCAACCGAACAGACTGGCATCTGTCATGATGGTAAGCCGAATGGGTTCCTTGAAGAAGGACCCTTGAGTTCGCTCAGAGCCACCATCTGAGCGAACTCAAGACTTGTGGAGGAACCCTTACCCTTCGGTTGGATGTGCTGGTGCCCAGCCTTTGATAGGGAAGCAGAAACCACTGAAGGGACCTTGAGCGTAATTTGGCCCAGAGAACAATCACTAGGCACGATATCATTTTCCCCAGTAATTGAGAGAGACTGACAAGTGACAGTGTCCTGTCTCTGCAGACTTTGAGGACCAAGTTCTGTATGCTGTCCCTGCGCTCTTGGGACAGATAGACCCGGCATTCTGCAGTGTCTATAAAGGCTCCTAAGTGTAACAGTCTGGTCAAAGGGACCATCTGGCTTTTCTTGAAGTTTACCAAGAACCCATGGTTCTGGAGGACCTCAATCACCTGCCTGAGGTCTGATTGTGGCTGGAGCAGACGATTGGATTAGAATGTTGCCCAGGTAACATTGTACCTGAACCGGCGCCAGTCTCAGGTGGGCGGCGATGACCGCCAGGATCTTGGTAAACACTCTTGGAGCCAAAGACAGGCCGAACGGAAGTGCCCTGTATTGATAATGATGTCCCATATAATTGAATCTGAGAAACCAACGGTGATTGGGAAGGATGGGAATGTGAAGGTACGCCTCCGTGAGGTCTATGGATGTCAGGAAGTCCCCCCTTCTGATGCTGCCCAAGATGGACTGAAGTGTTTGCATCTTGAACTTTCGGTATGCAAGATGGAAATTTAGACCTTTGAGGTCCAGGATCGCTCTCCAACCTCCCGAAGTCTTGGGGACTACAAAGAGGATGGAGTAGAATCCCCAACCCCTTTGGTCTGGTGGTACCGGTTCTGTGGCCCTTATGTCCAATAGGTGACGGATGGCCTCCTGAATGAGGCCTCTCTTTACTGGATTGTTTGATTGGGGACAAGAAATGAACCTCCTTGGTGGGCTGGAAACGAATTTGAGATAGACCGTAATGAATGGTGTTTAGGATCCAGGTGTCTGTGGTGGTGACCTCCCACTGGTGGGCAAAAAGGGACAGCCTGCCCCCTATGGGAGGGTCCACTTGAGAGTCACTTTCTGAGGAATGGCCGGCCTCCCCCTCGAAAGGGCCGTTTGCCCTGAAACTGTTGCCTGGGTCTGGAAGCCGGTCTGTCAACTGGGTGGTCCTACCTGGCCATGAATGGACGGGGAGGATGTGTATTAGGGAGGGTAGTTCCAGACCGAAAGGACTGTCGACGGACGTAGGGATTGGTTCATCTGTCGGCCCATTTAGTAAGGTGGAAAAGTATCTTCCTTTTGTCCTTATTTTCAGTTAGAAACGGGTCTAAGGCAGCCCCAAATAACTTACTACCCTGGTCGGAGCTGCTGCCAGGCGCCATTTGGATTTGACGTCAGCATGCCAGTGCCTTAACCATAGCATACGACGTGCTGTTACGTTGAAAGCCATGGTCCGGGGAGGAGAACCTGGCAGCGCACTCCATTACGGCCACTAACTTGCTCAGGTCCTGGTTTGTACGAACATCCTCCGGGGGAATCCTGACCTGGAGCTGATGAAGACAAATGAGAGCCGATTTAGTAAAGAACAAAACTGAAGTAGCAGCCCTGATAGATGTTGCCACCTGATGTGTTCTCCTAAATGCCAGTTCCGATCTGCGGTCCTCCGTTTTTAAGGCCTCAGACATATCCCCTGAGATTGTCGTAGGGGAAAAAAGGTGAGACAAGGGCTCATCCACCGTAGGCACTTCCACTAAGTCTGAGGCCACACTAAACAGTTTTTTATCGTTCCCACTAGGGAGGGGAAAGGTACCAGGAGACACCCACTGTTTCCTGACTGCATTGAGAAATAAGGCCGGACAGGGTACATGATGTTGAGTTACTACCAGTTCGATGAAGACAGGGTCTGTGTCTGAATCAGGGGTGGTTGCCGCTGGAGCAGAACGATTAGGTCCCACAGCGCTAGCCTTACGAAGCAAGGGTAGAAAAAGAGATGGATTAAATAGACCAACGAATGGAGGCGGGTCCAGAGAGGAAACCTCTTCCTCTGACCACAAGGCATCCAGAGCCTGATCCTCCTCTGGGAGGGATGAAACTCCGCTATATGAGGAATGGGATGGAGAAGGAGGTCCGTGGCCACTCTGTTGGGCCGAATGGGAAGGCAGAAGAGAGAGCGGAGAATCGTCTGTGTACCTGTGGCGACCTGGCCGCAAGAGCCTGTTCCACCGCCTGAGTAACCAGAGACTGGAGACGATCCTCAAGAGAAAGGAAATCAGACTGATCTACTCTGAGCCCCGCAGCCATAGGGATGAAAGTCGTCTCTGGAGCCGGCCGTTGATCCCGTGGCAAAGATTGGTATGTTTGTGTACCGAATTCCGGTCCAGATGGAGCGGGAGAAGCTGGTGACCAGACTTCCTGAGCAGAAGTAGAGGGGCCCAGTGGCAAATTGAAAAGAGGGGCCTCAGGCTGTATAGCCTTGGCCCTGGCCTGTTTCTGAGCCTTGGAAAACTCTTTCTCCAAGGCCTGATGTCTCCTGCTGACCTGTTTCTCCGCAAATTTGGAGGTTTTCCTCCCAGAGACAGCCTTGGCCTTGGCTGAGATCCTACCAGCAGCCTCCTGGTTGGAGAACCTGTGCCATTTCCGGCCCGAAGAAGGGGAGGCGTCCTTGGACTTGGAGGCCGTGTTTTCCTCCATGCTGGTGTAAATAATCTTCAGGTGCACTAAAGGGTACCCCTGGCAAGGATCAATTGGCAGTTAAGGAGCAAGGGCAGTGGGTGATAACTATCGCCCTGCCCCCCCCCCCCGGTCATTAGACCGGTGGTATCCAAAAGACCGGTTTTGTTTACAGCTGCTGTAACATCACCAAGGTAGTAACAGCCGGCCTGCTCGTGAGGCACACAATATTGCCAGGCCAGCAATATAAAATTGGCAAACAATGAGCAACAGGCAGAGCTGTGGGAGAGGGCAACAGAAATATCCTTGCGTGAGACCACTACGGATATATAGCTCACCAGATGGTGACCAGGTAGGGAGACACCAGATTGGCCCAAAATGAGCCCGATGCCTTGGTCTGCAAGAATAATTATTAAATTAAATCAAAATATAAGATTAGAAAATTGAAAAATAAAAGGAGGATGATCAAAGAAAATGAACGAGGAATGAAGCCACAAGAGGCCACAGTTAAAAAGGCCTGCAGGGCCTCGAATTAAGGCTCATGAGGGCTGTTCAAAATGGTGGCCGCTGCCTAGCCAGGCTTCCTGCCATAATGAAATTAAAGCTTCAGCCCCACGGATTAGGGAAGAAACAGAAGTGAGCCTCATGACAATGAAACCCCCAAAAGACCAATAAACAGCTGATAAAGAGGAAAAATCCTCTCCCCCTGCTCCCTTTTCCCCACAAAGGCAACCTTCATCAGCCACGCGGTCTGCAAGATGGCGGTGGCGCTCCAACTCCCAAGTCTTACTAATTAAGAAATCAGTTCCCCGAGGCTTAAAAACACTGTGGGTGAATGGGAGTGCTGAAAAGAGCCTCTCAGTTGGCTGGCATTGATTCTGGAGGACGAGAAGCCTCCCATAAAAGTTTGAGCTATTTATATAGCTACCCGCTGTTCAGCTGTGCTCGATCTGGCCGTTGGGGGGTTGCCTAAGCTGCAGCCACAAGCTCCAACAGCAGGGAAGCAAAAGGAAATTGGAAAGGGGAATTAGAACAGCACTGAACCCAGCGCTGTTAGCAGGGAGGAAGGGAGAAACGGAAGCCTCTGTTTTTATCTAAATCCCACTGGGAATCAGGTGAGTGATTAGTCAACTGGAGCAGCGCTGGTCCCAGCACTGCCCAGGAAACTGCACTTTTATAACAATTAGATAATGGAAAATCCACCAATGGACTTTATCTACCTGCCTGAGCCAAACTTGCACATCTGTCCTGGGCAAGATCAAGTCGAGACTGGGAGAACCTAGTCCAGGACGAGCGTGGCAAGTTTGGCTGACTTGATCTGATTGGGCAGGAGGGCAGAGTTAACCCATTGGTGGATTCTCCATCTCCTGTGCTGGAGAAAAGCAGTTTGTCTTCTTTAAATCTTCACAACAAAATGTACATAGGGACTACAGTACATACATTTTGTTGTGAACTACATTTAAGAAGACTCAATAACCTGAAAGTAGGAGTATTCATTCAAGCTACTAATTTAGTAAGAAGCGACCAATCTTTTAAAGGTGAAGTATGCCAGTTTTTAGATTTTGCCAATTATCAGCAACCCAAACCAACATTGTCCTACAAGGCAGATACTGGAAGTGACCCACTGGTTTCTGACTTCTGTGAGTTAGAAAACCTTCTCTAAATCAATTAGAGAATTTATTTTCCATATCTGGATTTGCCCCAATTGTGTTTCTCACTTGGTCTAGGAATTCTACATGTTTTTTAAAGATATTCTCTTTTAAGGTTCCAGATTTCCTAAGTATTGATTTGAATGAAAAGTTATGTGTAGCAATCATATGTTTCAGTTTATACTAAATTTGGTGCATCACAAAATTGTCTTTGATTCAAAATGAATAAAAGGTACCCAACTCTGAAATAATGTATGTCCTTCCACTGTCTAATATCAAAATATCATAAATTGTTCACATAATCACATAATTGAATAAAAATTCCAGACAAAGCAGACTCAAGAATATTCACTTAAGTTTATTTCATAAACTTTTAAGATCATTTCAGAAATACTTCTATTTTTGTACTTTTTATTTAAACTTTGTACATTTTCCATACAGCAACTTGGACAGGACAAAATTCTATATTCAAAAAAATGTAAACTGCAAGAAATACAGTTTTAATTATACAAATACTCTAATAAGAGTTTCATGTTGAAGACTAATTCAGGAGGCAAAAAATACAGATACAGTATACAATAAGCAATAAACACACAACTAGCAATGAGAACTGAGTTCTCCAAAACAGTTTTCTTCAATATCATATTGACAATATTCTATGCTTAAAAGCCATTCATTCCATGACAAACTGTGGTAAAGATCGTAGCAATGTTCCATCAATATTCATTTTCTTAACACTTCTAAATCTATATTCCTACTGTAATAATTTTATTTCATTGAATAATATGCCCTTTATCGACAGATCATGGACATTTAAGAATTTTTATTTAAGACATCTGAAAGTAAGTTTATACATTTTATGCTTAGTTGTCCATTTTCCCCCTAAAGTTTAAGACTTGACATGTTGCACATTACCATTTTATTTTTTTGCTCTTACTAATTTACACACATTTCTAGAAAATACAAAAACAAAACAAAAACAACAAAAACAAAAGATACCAAACATAGTTTTTAAAAAAGTATACCTATATATCCAAAGGGAAAGAAAAATTAGTATCACACAAACACTGTATTTAAAACTTAAAAGGATGAAGAAAAAGGTATTTACTTAATAAAAGAATCTGCTTTCTTCTTGAAGAAGACTACTAGGGTTTTTTTTTTGCACAGCAACTATTTTTATATCCACCTCATTTAAAAGCATTGTGTTCATAGACACATATATTATCATATGTCACTGCCATCATTGCTCAGTACTTGACTTTGCCCATGAAGAATCTTACTGAAAAGTAGAGTCATTATAGCACTATTTTACACAAAATCAGAAGAAAAATGAAGTTTTTTTAAGAACAAAACATTCCCAGAAATGGTTATGTGGGGGGAGGGGGGGTATACCTATATGCCTGTGCTATTTTGTAATCAAGGTTAAAAGACCTCAGTGAAATAAAAACTCTTATATGTACTTATATTTAAACTATTCTAAAGCTAACAAAAATACATTTAAAACACTGAATTATACACAATTTCTCTTGAAAAAGTTTTTAAGTACTTTACTCACCTTTAATTCATAACATCACATGTAATAACACTAGTTTTATTTTCAAAGCATTAAGGGCACAGAATACACAGTATACCGAACAATTAAGATCCTAATTTCAAATACATAATTTAAAGTTTTCCTTAAACTAAATTTATGAATTCAGTATACAGTTTTTTTGGAGGGATCTCGTAGACAACTCCTACAATTACCTTAGGTTAAGAATTTAAAATAAAGGTATTACACTAAGTCATTGTTTTCTGAAGTATCCTTATCAGAACTTGACAGCCTACAATCCACAACCTTTTTTCCATTTAGGAAAATATTATACACTAAAAATTATTTCTAATACCAGGCTAAAACAGTAGAAAAAAAGTGAAACAGTCAGCTTGCTATCTTCTTTTATATTTGTACAGGTAACCCTTGAGTTACAACAGTTCAAAGTTATGACATCACCCCCCAAGTGCTTATACAGTCCCGAACTTACGAATATTGCAGCACCACGGCAGTCAGTCAACCTTACAAACGATAGCAGAGGCACTGCAACATTTGCTTTGCCTATTCCCCACCCCCGCTAGATCTCCATAGGCACTGAGCCTGTGGAGATTCACTTACCTTGCAAAGATGTAGCGAGCAGTCTCCTCTCCAGCCTCTATGCTGCGGTTTCATTGCCTGCTTCTGTGCATTTGCAGAGAATGGAGGCCTGAAGTAAAGCGAGATCAGTAGGGCATAATCTCGCGCTACTTCAGGCCTTCATTCTCTGCAAATGGAGGTCTGAACGAGATCCGTACCAAAAGGCTTTGCAAACAGACAGGAGGCTTCGGTGCTTTAGGCCTTCTGTCCATTTGCCATTTCCTTGCCGAAACAAGCAGGGGCAGAGAGACTGGGGAGGAGACAACTCGCTTGATCATTGAGATCTTCAAAAGGTAAATGAGTCTCCACAGGCCCAGTGCCTTTGGAGACCCGGTCAGGCAGGATGGGGGGGGGGAGCATGAGATATTTCAGTGGGTCGGAGGAGGCCTTGGGTGGTCGAAAGCAGCCACCCATGGTCTTTCCCACCCTGAGAAACCTCATGCGCACTTAATGACCTGAGCATTCGATTAGCGAATGCATTGGGTAAATCAGGGAGGGATCACGTTCATTTTACGTGATACCATTAATGAATTCCTCGGGTTATGAATGTAATTGGCAGGCTCTATTACATTCATAACTTGAGGATTACCTGTATAGCAAAGCAGCAAAATGGGATGGAAGGATGACTTTGGCAAAATAGAGAATAAAATATTTTCCAGAATAGAAGCTGTGATTTCCCTGAATATAGTACAAAAATAAAGCCCTCGTACAGATAAAGTTTCTATTTAAATATACAAATTAAAAGCCCATTATATTTCTAAAAAGGTATTCTTGATCAACTGCTATGATAATATACAAGACAATACTACATCACAAAGATTCAGAGGGAAAAAAATACCCATGCACCTCTCTGGATCCATTAGGGGAATGTTTGTATATTCCTGCATATAGACTAAACTAGAATTCTCCAGATGTCCTAGACAACAGTTCCCGGAATTCCAGCATTAGACAAGCAGAACTGTGACTGAGGAAGGCAAATCTAAACTATTACACACACTGGACAATTGCTTAGGTATTAAGAAGTAAAGCTGATCTATGGGAAATTTGAATTTTTGTTTAGGTACCACTAGAAATTGTACACTAAACTGTAAATAGAAGGATCATTATTAGCCAGAGTCTACACTGCTAATCAGAAGATCAACTGTTACTCATGGAATGTACAAGAATCCTACTCAGTGACATTTATCAGAACTGACTTTGCAGTGATATTAGAAGTTTAGGATTATTCATCTTTATTAAAATGCTACCCTTCTTTAATTTTGCAAAAATAACAGAGCCTGCTATTACTTGTTACAGTGAAGCTGTAAGAGGCTGACTGATGTGATTTTATTTGGGAGTAATTGCCCTTAATTTTTTTTACATATAGTTACATACAAAAGGGCTATATAGCACAACATGATCTAGAGATATATAAAACATAATTTTTAAGAGATTAAGTGTTGTATATAATATGCCTTCTATTAATGTAAAAATAAATACTGAATGGCCATTAACAATGAATGTAAACTATGATTTACTATTTAATTAGTCTTCAAGACTAGAGTTACAGTTCTACTTAGAAAAATATATGTGCTCCTTTATGGGATAGATAGAAATGTGAAGTCAGCAAAAAAATAAATGTTTTCATCACAGATGAGATGTGGCAACCTGACAAGGTTATATTTTGCTACTAAAAGGCACTATAACAAGCTATTACACATTTACTTTCTTAATTTGAAGGAAACAGCAGAATTATATAAAAGAAATGTTCAGTAGTAAGAATAAAGGAATATAGAAAGTTCAGTTAAAATATGATTCTTATACTTATACAAGAATCAAACTAGAAGTAACACTTAGATCTTCCTCTACTACAAATAACAAAAACAAGGTTGTCATATTCCAGAACATTACGCAGCCCAGTATAGACAACCCATCTTAGACCATGATAACCGATAAGTGTTCCAAATTATCACACTCAATAGCAAACCCCCACAAGCAAACCCTCACAAACAAAAAGAGGATGCTTCAGAGGAAAGCATATTTCTACGTTAAGTAGAAAAATGAAGGACTGCAGTCTACTTCAATCAACCCTAATTAACAAAGTATTAAACTATGGCCTGATTGCTCACAACAATCTAACTGAAGCTAAACAACAACAAAATCCTGTTCTGCTATCATTGCAGAAGCTAAGTAGTAGAACTGATTTTAAGGGTGGAAGGGAGGGGGAAAGGTATTGCACTGTAACCCCCCAAAAATATTTTTTAGAATGGAAAAATTGGCTTTACCCATTTGATGATTGCAGCCTCCACCTGTCCCATACAACAATTTTTTAAAAATGTCTGCAAAATGGTTCCCTAACTCAAGTTTAGAAATTTCAATAAATAAGCATGGTAGCATATTCCATTCACATATTCCAATAGTTTGTTTGCTCTCTGTTATTCCGAAGTGATTTGGAAACTATTGTTCCCAGAGATGGCATGATCTATTCTAGACTCATTTCCTGTTTCTGACATGTTGATGTGATACAGATAGTCCTCAACTTACAACCATGCATTTATGGTTGTTTGAAGCACCCCATGGTCACAACCGCAATTGTGAAACCAAAAGTTTACTTCTCGTTTCCAGCAAAATGCCTATTGTAGACAATGGGTTCATTTAATAACCACAGCATTTGCTTAACAGTGGCAGATTTACTTAATGACCATTGTATTTCGCCTAATGACTGCTGCAGAAAATGTTGTAAAATCAGGTCAGTCATAGGATGATCTGGTTAATGATCAGCACGACTTATGACTGTAATACTGTGCTGAATTACGATCATTGGTCAAGACTGCCTGTACTATACTTGATCTTAGTCAAAAGGCAGAGAAGCAATATTCAGGATCTCCACTTTGTCAAAGAACAAAAGCTCTTAACAAAAAAAACTAAGCTTACGAACAGCATTGCAACGTAATAGTCTAAAGTATATAAAGTAGAAAAACGAACATTTCTGAAATGCTCAAACAGAATTAATCGATACATTTAAAAAATGTGGCTAAATTTCCCTTATTGGTTAATTGTCCAACATTTTACGTGATGAGCCAATTTCAAATATCTTCAGAATTAACTCTGCCATGTGTATTTATAATACTGCACATAAGTTACTTAAACAGTGGGAGTACTGGACACTGCTATTTTAATGTGTCTGTAAGGCTATTCAAGGTATTTTGGGAGGAATACCTTGGGAGGGAGGAAGAGGGAATGAAATATATTCCTGAGCTAGCCAATCTGCATGTCAATACTAGCAACTCACTCAATATACTGAATGTACTGAGAAGAGTGATGCTACCTTACTTAGCAGTAATCCACATTTCCTCACTAGCATCATCTGGTGTCTCTAGTCACGGAAGACAAATTTGTTCACTACTTCAGATCTGAAGCGAAAAAGGAACTTTGGAAAGAGCATGAGCACACATGCCACACGGGTCAATACCTCTTTTTCAAGAAGCTGTACCTTCTTCTGTGCTTTTAAAGCAGCTGTCACCCAGGAAAATGTGCATTTGAGTTAGTGAGGCACCAAAATATCGCACTACCAAGTTCTAAAGCATTTTTTTAGCATCAATGAAGTATTTATTACACATGCCTTGAAAAGGCTTTTTGGTCCTGTACACAAAGCTCAGTTCATGTAGAAGCCAACAAAAACATAATCTTGCTACAGTATTTACAAAATATACCACTTTTAAAATTATATCACATAATCAAGATTGAAACCACAATTTAATGTTTCTAGATTTTTCATATTAATTCCATCATTCAGTAATAAATGTCACTTAATGTCACAATGTCATTATTCAGTAATAAATGACATTTTTTTCATCGATCTCGTGGGAAAAATTCTAAAGCAAAATGACTCAATATGCTATTGCCAATGACTCAAGTCAATTTTTGGTTATGTTATCATATACTGTTATAATAGTTATTGCAATCTTAATCTGTTCTAAGATACGGACATATAAAAAAAAGAAAATAAATGTATTTTTGCATTAGATACTTTAGTTCTGCATCCTGATTAAAGTCAGAACCTATGGTCCTCCAATGTGGGAACATCTGAATTTCCATCAGCTACAGATAGCATGACCAAAGGCCAGGGAGAAAGAGAAGTACAAAGCATCTGATGGGCCACAATTTTACCACTTTGAAATATAAGAATGCATTTTGTTGCAAAACTGCAGAGCTGAGCTCAAATTCTAAACAAAGGACAAATTCCCTCTAGCCAGTTATGAATGATACTATGGAATGATAAAGATTCTTGCCAAAAGTCGCAAGTTCATTTGTATCTGCCAGTTCCTGCTTCCATTGGCCCTGCCATCTCAAGTCATCCTATAGATGCTATGAACGCCAGTGCTGTAATGGAGTGTGCATCTATTACTCCTCACGCAGCCATTTCAAACTGGGTATTAAACATTGGCACGGGATAGGGAGCAAGTAAGATTCATTCTTCTGTCTTTGCTACAACTACAGCCCCAGAACAGGAGATTCTTCCATGCATGGAACAGCTGGCTTTCCGTTATCTGAGCCCAAATTGAAACATGATGTCTCCACTATCTCAGTCTACGCACATAAAAAAAAAAAAAACAGGGCTTGTTGGACTCATGCATTGCGAGGGGGTTGGAACACTGCAGGGAACGCTGATGGTGGCTGAGAAGAGGAAGAACATAAGCCCCCATCTTAAGTTGCTGGAAAAGTGGGGGGTGCACACTGAAGTCCAAACCTGGAAAAGGGGGAGTTTTTAAAAAGCCTACTTTTGTGCAAAACTGCTTATTTTACAGTGGCTTTTTTCACACTGTGAAAAAGATTTCGCAAAGGGTGGCTTCACAAAAAGGATGCTAGAGATTTTGGGGTTGTTTTTTCTTTTCACTCTGCAAGAGATTGGAGGAATCACTGTAACCTTACAATTTTAATGTATAAATACAAGTTTAAGAAAACGTTCAAACATCCCCAAGAAGTATTTTTAGATGAAAATACCTCAGGGGTTTTTTTGTCTTACCATTTAGACTGCCTTTTTATGTCCAAATAATCTGAACTATAACACCAAATAGCATAATTTGCAATGGAGGCTTAAATCAATATGCAGAGTATCAGCTAGGGAGATCTGAACTGGACCATTCTTTCTACTTAATTTGAAATATTTTTTTCAAACTTACTACTAGTATTGATAAATATTTACTTCATCTAGTGAATGGAGAAAGGAAACTATTGTACTCAGCGGCGCATAATAATTTTAGATGACACGAATTATCAAGAGTTGGGTAATTCAGTCTGAATCCTACATATTTGTTGGGAATATAGTCAAAAACAATGTTTTAAGTACTGGGTAAAATGAAAATAATCTGAAATTGTTATTAAGATGACTCATAACTGTATATGTGTAATTTATCAATATTTGAAGTGTTAGTACCAACATTAACACTATGTCACCTTGATTATTTGCAAATGATTGTGATTATTTTATTTAATACACTAATTTCCTACTTTGATATATTGAATTCAACTTTTGGTACTGAATAAAATTCCCATTCTGCACTGAAATAAAAACTCTACTCTATAGGATTTGTAATGATTTTCAAGCTGGTTGAGAACAATAATGCAAAGGAAGCATGACATATGAGACATATAACACACATAATTATATATTTTTCCAAGGACCTGTTGTCTGTCTTGTGAATGTCAGGCCACACTCTTAAAAAACTGTTCACAAAGAAAAATAAACAAACATGAATATTCCAAGAAAACACACGCAAAATAATCCAACATTAAGTAATAATTTAACTTTTGGAGTCTCTTCCAGCATTTGTAGACAAATAGCCTCTTCTTCTGTCTTATCTTGGATGGCTCTATTGTTCACATTTTTGCTTTTAAAGCCACAAAACCAATCTATAAATTTCCAGTCTTTGTCACTACTCCCAGTCTGCTCTTCACTCTTCTTGTTACCCATAAGAGCTGCCTGACCATTAGAGTAACGATCAACTGGTGTCTCAGCTTCACAGTTAAAAGAAATCACTGGATTGCTGTCATCTCTGGAAGTAATTAGAAGATTGACATTTTCAGGCTGGTCATTTTTAACATTTTCTTCAGATTTCCCATTTGAAGATACCGTTACACCGTACTTTAACACATTCTTCTCTTGTGCTTGATATGGGCTGCCTGATAATGTGTTTTCTTTCACAGTTCTGTTTTTTATAGACCAAAATGTAGTTGTACGAACTTGTTCTGTTGAAGGTGGTGGAGTCAAAAAGCTGACTATTATAGCCACAATTCCAGTGATCCAAAACAGCCCAGTAGCAACATACATGTAATGGATATTCTTGATGAAGTATGGTCTGGTGTCTGGCTGGTTACATTCAGGGACACGATAGATAAATGCCAGAATCAGTCGTACAGCTCCTAAAGCAAATCCAACCATCCCACCAAAGAAAGCCCCTTGTTCATTAAAACGCCTCCAGAATACACCTAAAAGGAATATAGCAGCCACTGGAGGAGTCAAATAGTCCGCTACCTCTTGTATATATAGATACATTTGACCTCCTTGCATTTCCACTATTATTGGGACCCAAGCAATGCTTATTGCAACCATGAAAGCAACAAAAACTCTTCCAACAATCATCAGTTCTCTGGATGATGCACTCTTCCTTATGAGGACCTTATATATATCAAGTGTAAAGATGGTACTGGCACTGTTAAATATAGAATCCAAATCACTCATTAGTGCAGCAATCATTACAGCCATCATAAGGCCCCGCAGACCAACAGGAACAAGATTCATTACCAAACGCGGATAGGCAATGTTAGAGCATCCAGCTCTGCTTCCACAAACTTTCATACAATGTTCTGGATTGATGCATGCAATATCATCTGCAAACAAAATCCGTGATATCATTCCCGGAACAACTATAAGGAACATAGGTAAGAGTTTTAAAAAACCTGCCATCAGAGTGGATCCTTTGGCATGAGCAATATTTTTTGCTGCTAACACTCTCTGGACAATTACTTGGTCTGCACACCAGTACCATACAGAAGCTGGAGTCTGTCCCAAAATGAAACCAGGCCAAGGAATATCTTCATCAGTTGGTTCACGTAACATTTTCAGTGCATCAGGTTTTGGGTCAACATTGCAGTGATTAGTATTGGAAAGATTATGTATCAATAAAATCGATGTAATATTTGGTTTTGCCAACATATATCTTCGTTTAACCTCTTCAAACCCACCCACTTCTGTAATACTTATGATCATAAGTGTGAAGGCACCAATAATCATAAGCAAAGCTTGAACTGTGTCTGTGTAGATAACTGCTACAAGACCTCCAGTCACTGTCAACAATGCAGTCATTCCAATCAAAAGTGTAACTGATAGATAAATATTCCAGCCCAATGACTCTTGAATGAACAAGGCTCCTGAATACAAATCTACTGAGAGTTTGGTGAAGATATAGAGAATTAGAGACAAAACAGCAAAATATACTTGAATCCTGTGCCCTCCAAAGCGTTTGGATAAGTACCCAGGCATGGTGTATATTCCAGATTGTATGTAGACCGGAACAAAGATCCATCCCAGGAGTTGCAAAAGCATTAAGGCATTGAATTCCCATGCCCCCACGGCAAATCCGCTTGCTGCTCCAGATCCTGCAAGCCCAATGAAGTGTTCACTTCCGATGTTGCTTACAAACAAAGAAGCACCAATTGCAACCCATGTCATAGATCGCCCTGCAAGGAAGTACCCACTTACAGTGCTTCGATTGTATTTCCACATGGCAAAAAAGCCTATGCACAAAACAAGCACAAAATAGAGCGCCACAATGGCAATGTCTGCTGGTTGCAAAGCCGCCCTCATTTTTGTAAAACAAGTAACTTCCAAAAGCTGATGTCCAGGTCACAAACCCCGAGCCTTAGTAAGATAAATCAGTTTAGTTTTACAAGCACTGTGGGTCAAAATCTGTCCTTTGGTTTGCTGTCTTGATAGCAGTGGATGCAGTATAAATATGAGAAGATAAAATGTGTTTTTTTCCGCTTCTTAAATACTTAGTGTGCACTTTTATTCTCCAATCCACAAGAGCACCATCATTAACTTTGTTGATGTAGGAGAAATTCTTAGTTGCAGCTAAGTCTAGTGAGGCCTACTGTACCAACCCTGCAAGGCAGCAAAAACAAAAGATAAAGATTGAATTAGAGAAGGCTTTACTATGCACCAGAAAAACTTGAATTCTGTCATAACAAGTAGGTTGAACATAGCTTTTCCTCACTTTGAAATGCAATGTTGAATTTTACACAATTTAACAGATAACTTTCAAAGATTGTAAACAAGATATATTAGTAAATTAAAGAAAGTGCATGCTTTCACTAAATAAACCACCAAATTTGCAAAACTAAGCATTAACTTAACTACGTAGAATGTTTTGATATTCAAAATGATAAATCAGCACCACAGGACTCTATTCTGGATTTATATATTGCACTCTTCAATTCTCACAATTATCTCCAAACATGACTTACCTAACTTGATGTTTTTGTGCAATACTGTATCAATAGAGTTATAAATGTAATTGCAAAAGCTATCATCATTGGGAAATTAAAACAGTATGTTCCTTTTCCTATTCATTTGCTTCTCCAAAATGATCTCCACTATACCCAGTTCCCTTGTCCTAAAGTAGCTGTGCACATATTTTTTCATATAATTTCTTCAAAAGCTTGAAGACGAAAATGCTTCATATATTCATGTTCTATAGTACAATGTGGATATTTTTTTTTTAAAAAAGTGTAATAATAATGTCTAAATGCAGTACTGCAGGTGACCTCTAGTGGGCCAATGCTAAACTCTGGCAAGATAGAGGACTTCTAGGAATGTGACAGTTCAGGAGTCGTTTTGCTGAAACTGTACTTTTCCTCCTTGAAGAAATGGTTGAGAAAGTGGAAGTTGTAAAAAATCTTAGGAAATAATGATCGTGTCATCCTAGAATTCACCATATTGAAGGCAGGGAGAACTAAAGGTAATCAGTTTAGTGTTTCAAGACATTTCAAGAGAGCTGACTAAGAAAAAATGTGGGAAGGATTTCTTAGATGAAAATGCTAAAGGGAAAATAGTTTAGCGGAGTCAGGAAATTCTGAAAAATAAGATTAATCGGGAACCAAATTAAAACAATACTAGAAAGAAAAACAGGAGACAGGTGATATTATTGGGATGGTTGCAAGAACTCTTTGATAAACTGAGAAAGAAAAAATGAAAAAGGAGTCATGTAACAAAAGCAGAATATTAGTCCAAAACTCTTTAAGAATGAGGTTAGAAAGACTAAGGGTCTCAATGAGTGGAGGCTTGCATGGAAAGCAAAAATAACCAAAATGGTTTATTTGGATAAAGTATGAGGAAGATTAAGAAAACAGTAATTCCATTGGTTGGAGAAGATGGCAATAGAGAGAAGACTGAACTGCTTAATTCCTACTTTGCACCTGTAGTTTTCACAAAAGGAAAAAGAGGTCAACTATCAGGTGTGCCATGGGGGGGGGGGGGCAGAAGAGTAGTGAAAGTCAAAACAGACAACTAAGTGGTGAGAGAAACTCTAGTTTGAATGAATTCAAGTCACTGAGTCAGATGGATTACATCCCAGGCTGTTAAGGAACTACATAAAATAATTCCAGAACCATTCATTGTAATCTTTGAGAACTTCTGGGTAGGGAAAACACCAGAGGAATAGCCAAATGGAAAAGAGCTGTTTAACACTGTTCCAATCTTTCAGAAAGGCAAAAAACTATGGACTAATCACCTTGACTTCAGTTCCTAAGAAAATCTTAGAAAGATCACAAAGCAGTGGGTTAAAAAGTAACAAGGTAATTATCTGAAGCTAGCATGCGTTTGTCAAACACAAGTTGTGCCAGATTTTATGGCTTTTTTTTTTTTACTAATTGGCTAGATTAGAAGGATCCTGGTAGCACCTGCTGAACTAAATTGTAATTCATAAAAGCTTATGCCTTTCACTAAAAGTTGTTAATTAGAAAAGGTATTGCCACACCCCTGCTTTTTTGCCAACACAAACTAACACAGCTCCTCACCTACAATAACTAGATTAGTAGACTAAAGGAATGTTCTGGATGTAATGTAAGTAGAATTCAATAAATTTAATAAAATCGCCACCTTCTTCATAAAACGGTACAGTGCAGGATGTATGGTTTTACTAGCAGATGAATTTACAGTTGGTTAAACAGCGATATCCAACATGTCTTTAACCAATCTGTATCTACATGGATAAATATATGCATTTATGGAACATACATAATAACTGACATTAGAATGAAGTTGACTGGAACAAACTGATATGAATATAATTCATTAATGTAATAAATACAAGATAATGTAACAATATCTGATTATTTTTCAAAATCAATAAAAATGAAATAACTTAGAAAAAAGCAGGAAGAGAAAAAGATGAAAATGAAGAGCTCCAAGAAACATATTTCATCATTTTAATGCTACCAGTTATTATTTTTATCTACATATCTACTGATATAAATTTAGATGTTATAGTCTTCAAGTTATATATTAAGAAACCCATTCAAAGGATTCAAAGTGACCTGTTACATATTCTGATAAGGAAATGAAACTCCAGGTTCTACCTCTTCACAGAACTAGTCCATATGGTAATTAAGGCAACAATATAGAGGAGATAATAAACTTTCCAGTAAAAAAAAAAAGCACATGAAATCTCATTAAGTTGCCAATAATAATAATACAATTGTGTAGATCAGGGGTCCTCAACCTTGGCAACTTTAAGACTTGTGGACTTCAACTCCCAGAATTCCTCAGTCAGCAAAGCTGGGAGTTGAAGTCCACAAGTCCTAAAGTTGCCAAGGTTGAGGACCTCTGGTGTAGATATTTGTTGCAGCCACCAATCCACCTGCAGCATCTTCTTTTCAACATCTGCTATTACCACATCCCTGGCTTCAGGAATAGCACATCCAATCACCTACACAATTTCTGAATCTTCCCAGTGCTTTCCTTTCCTTATCTGCTTTTAGCTACCACTTTGCCCTAATGTCCTTGACATTACACCATCCTCCCAAAACACTAATCTACATGGAACATGCTTGCTTCAGTTTAGATGTTTTGTTTGTAGGGACCATTTTGTACATATCTATAGAGAAAAAAAATATGAATAAGAGTTTAGGTAAGGCTTGAATCAGATATCTTAAATATTATTACTTAATCAATCTAAATTAGAAAAGCCAACACAATGGGACAGTAGTCATTTTAAATTAATGAACATCAAAGACAATTTACAAGATAATCCAATGGAATGCATTATTCATGGTAACCAAGTATAAAGTATGGAACACCTGGAAGATATTTAATTATTCCACCCACTACATGTCTGGCAGAACTAAAGATTATGTACCTCTCAAATAAACTGCAATATTCCAATCCTCTAACATCCAAATTCAGTACATACAAAGTGAAGTGATACATAACCAAGTAACACATTACAGTTAGTTCTCGACTTACAACACAGTTCATTAAACTTATCAATTTTTAAAATTAGAATTATGGACACTGTTAACTTTCAGTTTACCACTTCAAAGAAAAAGATATTTTGAATAAGGCAAATTTGTTTGAGGGATTACTTAAAAACAGAAATGCTTTGCTGTAGTAGAATAAGTTCTGTTTAGCATTATATTCTTTCATAAGTGATAAAATCAAGTTTCCCTCAAGCTGAGTTCACTGATACTTTACAACAGATCAGTGGTTCATTATGATTAACCTTCTAGTCGTGCTAGAGAAGACCTGTTTTGAAGTACATAGATCATTTTTTTCAGCAAAACTTATCAATTATCAGTACTACAGATTACTTTCATGCATCTTTTAACCAAAGTTCAGAAACTATTCATACAGCCCTATTGTCAACAGGGAACTTTAAACTAAACAGAAATAGCAGTCTTAATAGTTCAATCACTAATGCAGAAGTACCCCACCCCACATACAGTTTACCTTATTTGATCCTGCCAACAGTTACCACTCCTTAATGTCAACTAAAATCAATTAGCTCCAACATAAACTGACATTGGTCTATTGAATGGTCTACAGCATAGGTGTCAAACTCGCCGTATCACGTGACATGTCACGACTTATGATTTTTTCGCATTGCCGGAGCTGGGGTGGGCGCAGCCTTCACATGATGCAACCAGCCCATGGGCCGGCAGTTTGACACCCCTGGTCTACAGCCTGTATAAAGAGTAATTACATCCCAATAAAAAAGATAAAAAGATTTATCTTTAAATCCATATACATACAATATATAATTGACCAATCAAAGATACATGGAGAGGTACTACTGTAATTTACTGCAATTCATTCCCTGGTCTTTATTTGTTGCTCTAATTATATATATACCCTGATGGTGCTCATATATAGTGTGCTCCCTGAACTCTTGAAACAGCCTTTCAATGAAACTTGCCGATTACATAATCATAATCTCATCATTCTGCTGGTACAGGTAGTCCTTGACTTAACAACCAATCATTTAGTGACTGTTCAAAGATACAGCAGCACTGAAAAAAGTAACGTTTGGTTTTCATATTTATGATCGTTGAAGCCATCCTATGGTCACATGATCAAAAGCTGGGCATTTGGCAACAGTTTTTATGTATTTATGACAGTTGCATTGTTCTGGCGTCATGTGATCACTATTTGTAACCTCTCCAGCTAGCTTCCAAAAAGCAAAGTCAATGGAGGATGCCGGATTTGTTTAATGACCACATCATTCTCTTAACAACTGCAGTCATTCACTTAACAACTGTGGCAAAAAGGTTGTAATAACTGCCTTGCTTAGCAACAGATATTTTGGGCTTAATTATGGTCATAATCGAGGAATACCTGCAACTGGTATCTTGCATAAGCACGTATGACTAATTAATTACATTTCATAAAGTCAGTTTTTAAAGCACACTGCCAATGCCTAAAAATCATTGTCCATTTTTCAAGCCAATCAACCACAGAAGAATTCAAAGAAGCAACCAATGAATACAGCTAAGAAACAAGTTTTCAAAAAGAATTCAGTTTTGGCCATAAACAATAACCAGTTCATAAATGAAAGCTCACATTTCTAAGACACAGAACTGGGAAAAATTCCAAATGAAAGTGATATAAAAATTTGTAAAGCTTGATCAAATTAACTGTTTAGTGCATTACTACACTCTACATTACTATACTCTACATTACTATATCATTTGTGTTCTATTCTTTTATATACTGGGTAAAGCAATATCTTTTTGTAACTTCCTTATTAACAACCTTTGCTATTTCCCAATACATAATTTATATATCTAAATACTTTCAACCAAAAGGAGAAAATCAATAGCTTCAAACATGTACTGAGGGAAATTGTATTTGCTGTATAGAAAAATACTATGAAATTCCCTGAGTAATTTGAAATAACACATATTACTTGTAGAGTTATTTTTAAGTGTGCAGTTTTTCTTCACAGACAAGTGAAGTCAATGCGCCACTTTCCCATGAATGGAAAAAAACTGTACTCTAACCAGAAAGTAGTTTAGCTCTCTTGCCCTCTTCTGGGCAAGTACATAAAGTACACGTATTTCTGGAAGGACATAAAATAGGAATGAGAAATACATCTTAATAAATTGCAACTAGATTTAAATTATTTTATATATCTTCTTAAATATATCACTTTTAAATACCATGTTTGTTATAGGATACATTAAACTTTTAAGACAAAAGGTGGTTGTTCTTTAATTTCTTCCATTAAAATAGCTATAAATATTTTATACTAGATAGCTTACGCTCTTGCTTCTATTGTATTTCTATCTGAATTGATTCAGATATTTTTATCCACAGAAAATGTATGTTCTTGGCAAAATCAATCCATCAGAACACAGTTTCATCTAACTAGCAATACACCAGTACAATAGTGTCTTTTGGACTGAGATTTCTAAATGTAAATGCAGACAAAATTAAAGCAATTCTTTCTGTATGTTGTTTGTTCATCACAAGATAACACTGAATTATTTATATTTTTAAATATACATAGTAATGATTTGGAAGACTTCTATCTAAATGTGGAATTCAAAGATGATTGATAAAAACTATTCTTGAGCACATGCTTCCTTTAAGAAGGTAATCTTTGTTTCTTTAGATCAGCTGACACTCTGATCTAAATGTCTGATCTGACATTATGGCAGAGGTTTTTTTTTTTTTTTTTTTTTTTTTTGCAGATTGTGAACTCTTCAGCTGCAAGATCCTAATACTTTGAACTTTAATTCAGAAATGCCTACATGCTGCTTCACAAATGTTTGGTACCATTTCAACAGGATCTATGCCTTCTAAAATATTTTTAAAATGTACTTTACATCTGAGATGGTCCAAAATTCAATCAACAACTTATATGTTCACAGAAAAACCAATGTTTGTCATGCCTGAATCATAGGTAATTTATTTTGCATTTTATGGGAGCACCCCAGAAAATCTATGAAAATTCAAATCAAATTAAGGTAAGCTATCAGAAACAAAATGTGTGACAATACTCCAAAATCTGCAAACCCAGGTCCCAAACATCAGAAAGACAAAATTCAAATAAAACTGACATGTGTTCAGAAACATGTAGGATATATAATATCTCCTATGTATATAATGAAGTTTTACTAAGCAAAGACCTCCATAAGCAAAAATATTTTTAGGCTGTAAACATATACACATCTACTTGCGAGTTAACTCACTAACCACAGTGGGACTTTTTGCACTTATGCAAAATAGAATTATAGTGCAAGGAAATACTGTGAGCTGCCCAGCCTTCTGTAGAGTATTTATGAGAGAAAAAAATTCTAATTAAAGCGTTCATTACCAGTTTGCCTGAATAAATACATTTAAATAGAATATCATTTTCTATTTCCTTTTTCAAAACTATTTCATGCTCTTCAGTATTTACCAATATCAGAAACTGTTTAATATGCAGTCAGACTCATCAGTACTGGTTCACCAGTATGTGCTTCAGGAAACTTCCCCAGAATTTACTAGTGTTGTTGAGTTATTTCTGCATGAATCTCAAACCTGCATGTGAAAAATAGGTCCTCTGCACTTGAGTTATGGACTCCCACCTGATGCTATCTATTTGCCATCTGTATTTTGAACACCATTTGCACTTCCTGGTAAGAAATCGACCAATCTTTCAATGCTATCTTTCAAGCTCTCTAGAAAAGATCAGCTAGTTTCAAAGGTTAAGTCTAAAGGCTCCTAGAGTCATCTTAAAAAAAAAAAGTCCTAGCAATTTATGTTCCATTTATATGTATAAAATTCATGTTTCTGGAAATCAAAAGCTTCCAATGGGGAAGAAGCATTTAAAGGTGATCAGGAGAGCTGTTACCAAGAATTTTCCAGAAGTGCAAAAATGAAGCGGTCCAAAAAAAGCTGCGATAGGCTCCAAGAATTACCATCAGGCAGCGGACCGATTTTTGCGTTTAAAGGGAAGCCCCTGCATATGCGCGGCCCATGCAAAAACCCAAGAGCTACTGAAGAAAAAAAAATACTGTAATTTAAATCTGCCACTTTTTCCCAAACGACTAAGAACGGCTCCTTTAATCGCGTTTTGTTATAAAAAAAAAAAAAAAGGCAACTAGACTACACGTGCGCTTTCAGCGTTTGGGAAGATTGGAGGGGGGGGGGAGAGAAGTCGCTTAAGAAGCAGAAGAACAGTTCAATTGTTTGAATTGCGAAAGCCCTCGCTAATTCTCCTGAAGTGATTCGCCGAACGATAATGAAAGAAGAGCCAGCAATGGCGGGAAAAAGCCCGTCCTTTCAGAGCTCACACGTTGGTGCGGAAAGGAAGGACACATGGTCGGACGTTCAGGGCTGCTGGGAAGAAACCCGGGGCGCGCAGGAGCTTCAGAAGGCTTGGAAGCCGGGCGGCCTGAGGAGCGCAGAGCGTCAGAAACAGGCCCCACCGAGAGAAGAGGGATACCTGGCGGAGAAAAGAGGGCAAGGCCACCGAAAAGGGCAGTGGCTGTTTAACCACACACACGCACACAATCACACAACGTCCACACCCCACTCACCCTCTGCATGGCTTTCAGGATCAAAGCCAACTCATAACGGGGCATCTTTGGCGAAAGAGCAGCTCAGCCCCCACCAGACAAGGGGAGTGCGGTGCAGGTACTGAGCGTAGATCCGACGGCTCCCTCGTCCCCAGCTGTAACGAGGCGACGGCGGTGGCGGGTGTTTAAAAGAGGTCGGTGCTATGCGCACCCGGCGGGCCCGCCCCTTTGCTTGCGTCAGGCGGTGCTATTCTTCCCCTTTCTCCCTCCCTCGTCCTCCCAGGATTGGGGGGGGGGAGGATTTCTCAGGCGCGCTGGTCCCAAATTATGCCGGGAGAACCTTTATTTCCAACTCGTCCCCTGCATAGGAAAGGCAGCCAAGCAGCACCGCGCTTTGAAAGCAGGCCTGCGGCTCCTGCCTCGTCTTCCCGAAAGTGATGCCTGTCCCGCCTTTTCTCCCTTTTGTTTTCCCCTCCTCTTAGACCCGTGGCCGCAAATACTACTGCAGAGAGTGGAAATTTCCACTGAATCCCGCCGCGTTCTCCGCCCCTTGAAGCTGCACATGGGAACTCGCTGGCCCTGCGAGACCCTTGCCAGTAAAATCCGCGTTCTAGGCCAGACCCCCACCTGGAGGCCTCCCAAGCCAGCTTTGTTCTCTAGCAGATATGAAACGGACAGTGGCTCTGCCACCGAGCTGTGCAATGCCAGGGTCCTCCATGCCTCTGTTGCCAGAAGCTTCCAGAAACACCTGTGGGTTTGCAAAGCTTAAGCTCCGTTTTTTCCGAAAAGGAAAAAAAAAACCTGCCTACGTACGCACACCACATAAGTTTGGGACATTCCCACGATCAACGATAAAATACCTATATCGCAAATAACTGCGGGATGCAGCAGATAGCATCGTTGCCCCTTAGACGCAACAGTCCCGAATACGCGTTCCTCTGCCGTACGGTTAGCAAATCTGACTCTGCGTAGGACGGTCTGACATACTTCACATTTCTCCAAAACATACAAGGGCGTACATCCGCGAAAATAAACCTCGAGCCTCTTCCGAAAAATAAATTGCTGTAATGTCTACAATGGGGATGGGAATCCAGTGTGATTTCACTGCCTTGTTATAGTCCCTCTAATTGTATTTCCATTATCGCTGGTTTAGCCTTTCTAAAAACATACATTTTGTATTTGGACTGTTCCACAACCATTGGCATGCCCCAAAACGGAAAGAGGCAGGAAACTGCGTGAATACAATACAGTATATTGTCTTAAATTAGAGGGGAAAGGAAAAAAGGAAAACAAAACTACCACCACCAGATGTGATGGGGAGGCAGATCCAAATATGGTAGGTCAAGGGAAAGGAAAATTATTCTGTATTGTATATGTAATTGCTATCTATTTTTCAGTCTTCCCTGCCCCTTTGCAATAAATTAATATTCATTTGACTGAACTACATTTAATAATCTTAACCCAATGGAAAGCAGTCTCTTCCATATGCAGAACTGTGTGTGTGTGTGTGAATACAGAGAGAGAGAGATGCAGATAAGCTCTTTGTTTGCAAAAATCAGGTGCTCACTTTCTCCTCTTTAGAAACTTTTTAGAGTAACAATATATCCTGGAATTTAACAAAATCCTCCAGCAAATAAAAAAGTGTCTCTTGCATCGTGTTTCTTGCATCAATTTGATTGGTTGGGGGGGGAGTTGTTATTCTTTATTTTTCCTTATATGTTTTTCCTATCCCCTCTCTATGCCTGATAAAATTATAGTATTGATAGGCCCACCATGTATTTCAACAGTTCTGAATCTTTATGAAGCATTGTGCTAGTTCCTTTTTTTTTTCCCCCTATCTTGTGTTTTTCCTGCAGGTACAGCATGCACTGTTTTCAAATCAGCCAAGTGTTGATCCACTGATTGTGCCAGGATTTGATCAACTGGCTTGTCATCTGAGCCTGTTATGGTCTGAGGGAAAGTGATTGGCCCAAAGCTACCCAGCCAGCTTTCATGTCTAAGGCAGGAGTAGAACTCATAATGTCCAAATTTCTAGTCCAGTGATGGCGAAGCTTTTAAAGACCGAGTGCCCAAAAACTGGCCCTACCCCCACTCCGCCCCCACCCTGCCTGCCCGCAGGGCCACTCATCACCTCCAGGCCCCGCCGCAGATCGCCCAGCAGCACCATGGCAGCCATGCCCTCTGCCCGTGCCCCGCAGCATCAACTGTGCGCGATGGGGCATGAGGGCAGAATCTTGTCTACGCTGCCTGGCTGCCATGTCCTTGACTGCACTGCTCTGCATGGGCCACGCTCAGGGGCGACCCTTCTCCAGGAGGGCTGCTGGTGAGGGTGTCATGGGGGGAGGCAAGGCTGGGGCAATGGCATGTGTGCCCACAGAGAGGGCTCCGAGTGCCGCCTCTGGCACCCGTGCCATAGGTTCACCACCACTGTTCTAGCCTAATGAATTTGCTATTTCTCTTAATTATCCGATTAATGTATTAGTGTGAGGGAATTGTCCAGAAGATCCTGTATTAATTAGTGATTGTATGTATCATTTAAGCTTAAAAGTTCACCTAAAAGTCATTTTCAATCCTATCATGGCTGATTATGGGACAGTTGAAAACTATTATATCTAGAGCACAAATAATAATTAACTATCACAGATTCGGCATGTATTAGACATGTCATTATCTCCTGTAAATAAATAGTGATTCTAAGCAACAAACATGGCTTAGCGTCAGGAATATTTGGGGGTCACAAGATATTTTGTATCTATAAAATCTTAGCCTAATATTTGAGACTCATGTTTGGCCCATCACAGTGTAATATGTTCAGGTCTTTCTCAGGATTGATAGATAATTAAATCTTTTCCTCTCATAATGGTGCAACTATAGTCTTAAAATCTTTTGAAGGATGAGGGGAGGGAGGTTTTTATGTGCCACACAGAGCATTTTATGTTTTTTTTTCTCTGTCAAGTGTGCAGCTGAAAGCAAGAGAGACTTAGGACTCATTTTATGCAAATAATGTTTTTTGCTCATTGAGTACTATGCTGCCTGGAGGGTTTCTTTTTTGCCTCCCCTCCCCTTCCCTTCCCTTCTATAATACTTTTGGGGGTGGGGAGAGAAGGAGCTCAATGATATTTTGGATAAGGGGCAGAATCCAGAATATAATTGCCTGTAGCTGAGCAGCAGGTCTGTCAGCTGGCTGCCCATGTGGCAGGTACTTAAACCTATGAAGGAAGTATGGTTGGAAAAATTAGGGTTCATGTGGTAGAAAGCAGAGGGAGAGATATTTTTTTTTCTGTACTCTGTGCCCTATGTGACCAGGTCCTCAATCGAAAGTTTGAGCTGCAGTAGGTGAAGGGTGAGCTGCAAGCAAAATTTATTTATATGCCATGGCTAGAAGAGTAGAGGAATGAGAAGAACATGATAATTTCGATTGAGGACCTGGTCACATAGGGCACAGAGTACAGAAAAAAAAATATCTCTCCCTCTGCTTTCTACCACATGAACCTTAGCTATAAAGATGACCAACATAAGAAGAAAGAGAAAATAAAAGAAGGGGTTGTTACTAAGGTAAAAGGTAAAAGTGTTGGTTTCAATTCAAAAAAATGGGAAGGTAAAATATATGGGACTTCAGATAAAAACTAGTAGAAAGAGAAATAGGATGAGAACAAAGGGGAAGAGGAAGGAACAAAGTTGAGAGCTTATCTAATGATCCAGATGAAGAAAAAAGCCCAACAGATATGGAGAGCAAGAGATTTCACTTGTGAATTTAATGCAACAACAAAGGGATCGTGTGGAGGAGCTTTGTTGATGGAGGGATATAGGGACAGCTCAGTGCCCAAGAGTTTTCAAGGTTGGGAGCACTGCTCTCTAACTCAGAAGTCCCCAACCTTTTGGGTACCAGGGACTGGTTACGTGGAGAGAGGTTTTTCCGCAGACCGGAGGGGGTGTGGTTTTGTGTGCTGCCTGCATCCCACAGATGGGGGTGTGCTTGTTTGTGCAGACCGGTTGCTGGCATGCCGTGGCCCGGTACCGGTCCATGGACCGGGGGTTGGGAACCTCTGCTCTAATTCTCAACGATTTGCAAATGTTTTGGGGAACAGGGCAAATACAAGGAATGAATTATGGACTGGATTGTGCTGGCAGTGAGGCAAGCAAAGCCAAGTTGCATTGACTTATTCCCCAAAAGGGAGGCCTTGAAAAATAATAAGTAAAGTGATGGTTCAGTTAGATATCATATCTGCAGCTATGGCAACAATTTCTAGGAATCTAAAAATCAGCAAAGTCAATGAAAAGTGATTCAAATTCCCTAAAAAATTATTTGCTTAGATTCCTAAAGATATAAACAATCAGATAGTTTGGGATATGGTATATTATTAAGAAAAACAGAGTTTTGTTGAAATGTCTTTGGCAAAGAATCCGAGTCTGGACTTTTTTTTGTCTGTCCCCCATTTTTCTATGCATCGGGTATAGAGAAATGATTATTTCTCCAGTTGCAGTGAAGTAGTGCCTAAAAAACAGTTTTTCTCCATAGTGCATGTGTATGTGAATATTGTATCTTTTATTTGGATGTGTCTGTCTATTTATTTTTGTTATGGTAGGAAACCTTTGTAATTCTGGCTTTATTAGGACTTTCTAGGTCTCTCTTTGTAGCTTTTCCTTTTGGATTATTATAAATTGCCTTCATTTCTCTATCCTCTGAAATCCATGTTTTCATCTTCCTTTGAATTCAGTGTGCTCTGGTCTTCGAGCCACTCTCCTATTGATTTGAACAATGTATTATTATTTTGTATCTTTTTAATTGGTAAGTATTTTTGTAAAACTGTATCACCCGTATATGTCATGCAAACCTAAATGACCCATGCACGATCAAAGGATGAAATGAAGTGAAAAGAAATTGTTCAGAAGACACTGTACTAGTTAGTGATTGGTATGTATCATTCAGGAATAGAAATTCACCTAAAAGTCAGTTTAAATCCCATCACTGAGAGGGAGGGTGGGTGATTATAGGATAACTGGAAGCAAATTATTTATATTTCTACCACAAACAAATAATTAGCCATCACAACATTTGCATGTATCGGACAGGTCATTTTGTCCTATGAATACTGATTCTAAGCAAGAAACAGGACTTGGAGTCAGATTCATTCCAATAGAATTTATTTAGCAGAACCT